CACATTTTAATTGGCTTCTGTTTTCATAAGAAAACTGAAAATAATTTATGATCATGACACGACTGGACTGCTTCCAGTACTGCCGCTATTTTCAGCAGTGAAAGTCCCATTCGGAACACTTTAGCTGCTGCATCTGTAATTTCACCACAGACATCGTTTTTTTTCACAGAGCAAACATCAACTTTAGTGTCAAGAATCATTGATTGCAATGAAAGTTTGCTCCCTGGCAACGACAGTTTCCAAGCCAGATGATGGTGCATTGTGAGGAGCAAGCTTGTCATTTTTTTCATTCAAGCAGTTTGTGAATCGTGAATTTAACCCTCACTGAAAGTAGTCATTTTCTGGCTTTGTGAGTTGTCATTCTCTCACATTGTTCTGGATGAATTTTGACTCTTCTTTACAAAGTTGCTTCAGGTCATTGGTTTGTTTACAGCTCTCCTATCATCCACAATGGAATTTCAATCAGGTTGAGGTCTAGATTTTGACTGGGCCATTACAACACCTTGATTTCTTTTTTTGTGGATTTTTTCAGACTTAATAATGTGCTTGGAATGGTGGCCCTTTGGCCAAGCTTTAGTTGTCAGACAGATGGCCTTAAAGAGCAGTGATTTTGCTCGGTGATTGCAAAACAAACCCAAATCACCCCTCCACCATGGTACTTGACAGCTGATTGTAGTTAAAACTGGTGCTGTGCATTACGGCCAAACATCTCTACTTTGATCTCATCTATTTAAAGGACATTATTCCAGAAGTATTGAGGTTTGTTCAGATGCAGCTTTGCAAACCTAAGCTGTGTCATATTGTTTTTAGAGAGAAGAGGGTTTTTTCTGTTTGGTAACCTTTACAAATTAGCCATACTTGCTCTTAATTGATCTAATTAACATGCTAACTAAAGCCTGTAGAGTCTTTGGCTTTTTCAAAATTAAAAAGCATCTGGCTGCTGCTTATTTCTTTATATGGAAGCAGTAAGGGTATACTTAGTATTTCCCAGTCCTCTGAATACGTTCTTTTTCACGACTGTCATTCATTTTCAGCGATCAGAATGATGATTATTTTATTGCTCTGTCACTGTCTGTGCTTTAGGTGATATACTGGTGATGGATGATTATGGCTACATGTATTTCATGGACCGCAGCGGCGACACTTTTCGCTGGCGAGGGGAGAACGTTTCCACGACAGAGGTGGAGGGAGTCCTCAGCAAACTACTGGGACACACCGATGTTGCCGTCTATGGAGTGTCTGTGCCAGGCATGGATGAAATGAATTATTTCATCGGCACATTTCAGGCAAATAAACAGACTCAAAAGCTGATGAATACTCTGTGTTTTATTGTGTTCAGGTGTGGAAGGGAAGGCCGGTATGGCAGCAATAGCTCAGGAGGGAAACCAGTTGGACCTTGGTGCATTCTTGATCGGTGTACAAAAAGCTTTGCCCTCCTACGCATGCCCTGTCTTCCTTCGGTTCATGCCGTCTGTTGACACTACAGGTGAACATCAGTGAAAAAACATTCAAACGGCAATGTGATTTTCTAAAATTACATAAAAACTATATATATATATATTTTTTATCTTGTTCACAGGTACTTTCAAAATTCAGAAGACACGGCTGCAGAAGGAAGGATACAAGCCACAAAACTCGAGTGAAAAGATTTACTTTCTGAACAGTCGTGCTGGACATTATCAGCCTGTCACTGATGAATTATATGATGCCATCAATGAAGGGAAAGTGTCTCTTTGAAAGAAGAAGGAGCTAACAAGGCTACTGGGTTAACACAACTTACTCTGACTGTGTTTTTGATATAGTTATTTTGTGTTTGTTGTTTTTTTAAGATGAACATTAAGCTCACCTACCTGAATAGATTTGGCTTGGTCAGATTTCTCTGAGGCATCATATATACACACACACACACACACACACACATATCTATATATATATATATATGAACAATGTGTGAATTTCCAATCATAATAAATACGATTTATATATATATATAATAAAATATGTTCCTTCTTACAAGAAAAAGGATGACTGAAAACTCAGTAATTTATGGAAATTAAGTAATAACTATTATTTGAAAATTCATTTTTTAACATGACCAATACTCCATAGCTGCCTAAAGACTTGTTTCAAACAGAGCAGCACAGAAAGACTCAGGACAGCACCGCACGGCAAACTTCAATTATCAGCTTGTGAACGCCTGTGCCAGCCAGTCCCGGTGCAAGTTACATTTTATCCTTTTAAGCATTTTTCTCAAGTGTCAAAAGTAGTAGCCTTGAATCATGGCACAAAATATGTGGGTTCTTTTTGTGAAAGCAAAGTGACTTTTAACTTTCATCACCTAAAACCAGTCACGTTGAGTCCAAGCACCAGTGTGTTATATTACAGTACATGCTGGGCATTGATTGGCTTTTAAGGCAGACACTGACACTGAATTGTATTTTAAAGTTAAAAATGATGTCTGGGTTAATATCAATCATTCTCCCAAAAACTTGCGACACATGGTTGCTGTCTGCAACTGATGTGCTGAGAATTAGATGTGGATGAAGCAGATTCAACAACAGAAAAGCGTCTTTGTTAGGCTGTGAATGAGAGGAGCAAAGAGCAGGTTCCAAGGAAAACAGAGCACCAAGGTAGCACATGAGAAAAGTGACAACAAGGACTAAAGGAATGTATGAGCATATATTGACACTGAGAACTAACTGGGGTTACATGTATGAAGATAATCAAACAGGCAGAACGTTACAGACTTATATAAACAAAACTAAAGCTCAATAAATAAATATAGGCCAATCAGACGCAAGTGGACAGTTTTTTTTTCTCATCTGACTGAAACTATCAGGACAAACAAACAAGGCTGACACTGTATCCTAACAGCATATTCAAGTTTTAAAGACCCCTCCTGCAGCATGCATAAGACTAGGGATGGCTGTGGAAGTGGCAAACTTACCCATATTTTGTTCTGTTCCTGTCTGTGTGATGTAGAAACTGTTGACCCCAGGAGACTCCCTCAGATGCTGTCCATCTTTTATGAGTTCATGAAGCGACCAGAAAGTTGCATGCATGCATGCAAACTAACTCTAGAGGGCAATGTGTTTCATCTTATCAGACATACTAGCAGCTACCCTAGTGTTTTTCCACAGGTACTAATATAAAACGTATCATATCGTCAGGCACAATCATGCTTGTCTGTTAAAATAAACAGCAAAGCCACAAACTAATTAATTCCAACCTTGCAGTTGTGTGAAAAAGAGTTTGTCATTTTAAATACCCGTTCTCATTCATTTACTAGTTGTGAAACATTTAATTGAATCAAGCTTCTCTTTATTCAGTGACAATTTTTTTCTGTCAGGGATTTCACTGCATGACTGATTCACTTTTTCCATTCCAGTGTTCAGTGTTACTCTGGCTGTTTCACAAAAGTCTTTCACATAAATCCCTCTCCATGTGGTCTTCTGTGAGTTTCTTGTCAGCCTAAAACACAATGAAAACTGTTTGTAAAGTAAGAAGACGGTAAAATAAATAAAACATCAGCTCCAATCATTTGAATGCATGTTTACAGGTCTGTGGGACATTTTTGCAGTGAAGCATCTTTTCGCTCATCCCATTTGTGATGTTCAGAGCTCCCCTTAAAGGCAAAAAGACTTAAAAACTAATCATCTATCACACTTTCTGCAATAAGTGCCCTTCTGATTAGCTGCTAGTTATCTAGTATGTAACATATGTTAGTACTTTACCAAATCAAGTAGTGAAAAGCAAGTACATTTACTCAATTGCTCAAGTACTTGAGGAGGCTCCAAATATTTATTCACAGTTGCAGAAGTCCTTATTTATCTTATACTTGATTTTGGTGTAGCCCCACAGTTCATTCTTTGTCTGAAGCTCGTTTGGCTCCTCTACTATAACTAAGCCTTCTTCTGATTGGCTATCCCTTACACACAGAAGGGTTGAACAGTCACAAATGTGTGTCCAAGATGCCCATATAAAGGACACTTCCTCATATAGACATCATACATAGATTGAACACTCTAGCCTGAGCCTTTTGTCAGATACCAAATCACCGTGAGTGGTATACACCAAATGTTTGTTATTTAAATTGCTTATTTATTCGTTTTTTTCATATTTGTTAGTCTCATATGTTTCGAATCATCAAAAAAATTAATATTAGACAAAAATAGCCAAAATAAAACTAAAATTAGTTTTTAAAAGATGTTTTCATTTACTAAGAGGAAAAAAGCAATCCAAACCTACTTGACCCAGTGTTAAAAAAAGACACTGGTTTGTGATGTTAAACTGACCCCAGTGTGGCTGAATTAAAATAATTCAGAGAAGAAGAATCGGCCAAAATTTCTCCACAATGATGCCAAAGACTCATTGCCAGTTATTTAAAATATTTGATTGCAGTTTTTGCTGCCAAGTATAGCAGAACCAATTATTACTTTTCATGTAAGTCCAGGTAGGTTTGGATAGATTTTTTCCCTTAATATTTTTTCCCTATTAAGTCTGGTTATTTTCATTTATTTATTTATTAACATTCATTTGATATCAGAAACATTTTAGTGTGACAAAGATGCACAAAAAAAGGAAATCAGGAAAGGGCAAAGAGTTTTTCACAACACTATATAACAAAAACTAAGAGGAAGCACAACTGATGCTCTGATCAAGTGCCACAACAGGAGAGCAATGACGAGATCATTCTGCACAAAAAGTACTTTTACTTCATTTTTGGCATGTTTCTGTACATCTTTTTAAATAAGTAAAAAGCAGAAACACTACTACCACTACTTTTTCGTAAGTTATATTTTGAATATGAGAATACATCTTTTACCTAAAATAAAGTACGTCTTTTCTCGTATTTGTACAGACTTGACAGAAACACAACCCACCTCTCCAGGTCTTCAGTTTTTCTTGGCATTGTGGTCTGCATGTGTGCGTGTATGTGCAGCTCAAATTTCATGTCTTGACTCTTGTGAGACAGCACATATGTAAGACAATGATAGACACAGTTATTACCAGCTCAGTTTTCAGCTCGATGCTGCTTTGAAATTCACTCTAAATTCAGCTTGAATCAACTAATCTTGGATTAACACAAGGCGGCATCTGTTTGGGAAGGAAAATGAATATTTACAGGAGATTTTTTTAAAGCCCGACTGCTGCCTTGTTTAAATATCCGCTTGCTGTGGTTGCAGGAAGCATGCAAATGAAAAAGTATGAAACAGTCTTGAGAGGCCCCCCTTAGTCTTTGCAAAGAATAGGGTTCAGATCTTGTAAGGCTGCGAGCGCTCTGCTGTTATTTGATGTCTTCGTGCTAATGTTTGGTTTGGCTTCGTGACATCGGTGCAACTGCAACTAGAACACCAGCATTCAAGCACTCTTGCTGGCAATCATCTACCCCGCTGAAGTGTCCTTGAGGAAAAAAGTAAATTCCTGCCAGCTGCTCTGCATCTGATCCTTCAGGAAGTTGCTTTATTGCTTTCAGTGAAATAAACAGATCTCTTCTAGGTCTTTCACTTTTGTGATCCTGTCAAGAGAAATCTGAAATACATCCTTGAAAAGAAAAACATGTGAAATAACTTTTTTTTTTTCATAAAATACTAGCTAAGTTTAGTTGGTGGGGCCTCTGATCGTATTCACGTGAAGGAATCAGTTGGGAAAATAGTTTTGGTTAAGGTTAATCTTCTGTTCATAACTCACAAGGGATGCCAAATAAAGAGGGTTCTTTGCTTTGGTAAAACTTGGAAAACAACATTGTGAAATTTGAGGTTAAATTCCTGCATGCCAAAGTAAAAGGAGTGAAGAATTAAGAATACCACAGTGAGTGGTAAATGTTTATACGAGCTCCCTCTTTTCATGTAACCTCAACTTATAAAGTCTGTAATAGGAAAACAGCATTGATTATTTTCTATTCTTTCTTTAAATGTAAAGTCTTATGCTCATTACCTAACACTTTTCAGCGTATAGCTGCCCATGTTAAAATGTAAACCATGTGCCGTGCATGGCTTCCAGCTGCAAATAGTTTACTTAAGGGGTCCTAGTCATCCAAACAGAACGCTGACAAGTGCTCTTCGCATTTCTCATAACACTCTGGAGAGTCAAGTAACAAGAGAGGAAAGATAAGGCTTTTTGCCTTAAATCCAGGAAGAGGTCTATGGAGAGGGACTTGGTGGTGACAGTTGAAGCCTTCAAACGTGATGCCAGCTTGGTTTCACGAATGCAGAAGCTGGATGTTTGTATGAAACAGATGACAAATAATGAAAACAGCTTAGTGGAAGTGCGCTACATGTGCCCATGTGTCTTGGTATTAGAGCTGCGTGTGCAACATGTCGAGAAGTGAGGCTTACTTTTTTCTGTGACCTGCATGAAACGATACCTCCACCTCAAACGTAAAGCTCAGGAAATGTGTGTCCACCAGATGTAGCCATATATCACCCTGCAGTGTCAACTTGACTTTATGACCCTGTAATTTATGGTATATATTTTCATATCCAAGGGCTAACTTCATTCCTTTCTTAGTTTTTTTTTTTTACTACCTCAGTCGTCTCCCTCCCATTGAACTGTAGCAGTAATTAAGTTCTGGTAATGTTTGGTACTTGCGTGTGTTTGTTGGAACGTGCACAGTCACAGTTCAGGGGTTCTTTTAGTTTTCAAATTAACACATGCAGCATCAAGTTTTAAATTATTCAGTGTTTGCGCTACCAGGATTCAGGCTTTTATTAAAATAACAAGACATTTTTGCAAGTTGAATATGTGCTCGTGAAGCGCTTCACAGTTTAGTCTTTCCTTTATCCATTAGGAGTCATGCTTAAGTGAACCCTGAAGGCAAAATACATTTGTTAAAAATGGTTTTATTTTGGTGAGTGAGTAAATATAAATATTGATGTCATTAAATAACTTTTGCCGCTTTGCACACATAGATTGCTGTGAATGGGCAAACTTCAATCAGGCATGTTTTGGCCAAAACTCTGCGCAGCAAGTTCGGAGACAGTGGCAGGGACAAGATGAAACACATCAACCTAAAAAAGCTG